TAGAGGTGCTAGTGTGATAGAATAATAAAAAATAGGATATAATATAATAAAAATAAGTAGCCAACGTGTTTGATTATTTAATTATTTATAATTATTATTAATAAATGTTTGTGATATTAAGAGAAAAGCTGTGTGATAATTTTTATTTTTTTGACATCAAAATATTTCTTTCCATTATTGTGTAAGTTGTTAACAGAATTATCAAAATACTTATTATACTGTAACATTCTTATGAGAAAACCGGGAACACATAAACACGAAATAAACTTTCTGGCAGTTCTTTGAAATGCTCTGACGAGTACTGCTTTGGAGCAGACACATTTCCCATTGCATCATATCTTGCAGAGAAATAGATTGAAGCTCGGAAGTTAGTGATCCTCGCGTTGTGATGGGTTCTGGGGGAATGAAGCAAAGTAACTTGCAGTTTGAGAGGCTTGGCACATTCACCTAACGGACAAGTGAGTACAGTCTTCGAAGCCAGAGGGTTAGCAACGGTGGCGGTAGCAGATATGAGTCAAAGCGAAACTACAAGCAGCATCAAACGCCAGACAATACCTTTCATAACAATCCTTTCTTGATTGTTCATAAAGTATTAATTATCATTGTTGTAAATTGATACATAATGGATTGGCTTACATTACTACTCATTTATAGCTGGGTGTATTACTAATTAGTTACAACTAAGTGGATTGAAGAATATAAGGTGAACAAACATATTGTTTTGAGGTATGAAACCGCTTTCAGAATATTAAAAATGTGTAAAGTTCTAATACATGGCCATTTTTTTCCTTTTCCTCTAAACTTACGACCAACTTACTCTAATCTTGCTTTTGCGTAGATGCTGTGTACTCAAGTTCAAATTTTCGAAGTAAATTCTGTTTATGAATCATCTGATATACATTTTAGCAGCGCCTTCTCATCTCTTCTTCGACTTTTTAGTGGCATCGTACGAATCTCAAGACAAAAGCGCTCATTATCTAAAGGTTGCATTGTAAGTATTTTGACGACTTTAATATCAGATCTCATAAAACTAGAAAGACCGGTCCTTTTCTTCCGATACCATCAAGCAATGAAGATAGCTCTTAAATTCCAAGTAATAAAACGGAGACCTACTTGCATGGTGTAGTCTGATTGTGAGTAGAAAAGCAGATCTTCCAACGTGCAATATCCTAAAAGTATTCTCTGAAGGAATCAAGCTCCTGCTACACGAAACTCTCTTCAATTGTTCGCCTACAATACTGTGCATAACAGTGAAAGAGTAACATAAGACACTTTATCTGTTAAGAGATCGCAATACGACCGACATTTCTGTCAAGATGCAATCCACTAATAGCTACCGATGAACGACACCTGAGGCGTTAGCATCGTAGTATGGTAACAACGTATGATGAAGTCACAGAGAGACTTGAATGATAGTGATATTATTATGTTTTTAAATGTGAATTACGATAAATACAAAATATAAATAAATGACAAAACCCCTTGGTTATAACATGTATACAATAATAAGAAAATCGATTCTTGCTATCTTTAATAAATTTTGTAATATTTCATTTCTTATCGTGGAATTTAATCAATTCCGCTTACAAACCTACTTTGTCTCGATAATTTTCAGCATTTTTTTTCTATTCTCAATTACAATCATACATTTCGTCAAGATGACAGAAAACGACAGGTTGCTTTTGTCTTCTTTCTGTATTCATTTCTTCATCAGATTGCTTCCTCCCAAAGGCCTCTCGCAGGCAGGTAGCTGGGCTCTCAACGCGCTGGTGGGAGCTAGCTCGTACGAGCAGTTTCCTTAACAGCGATGCTCTATGGAATTTGCCTAACGGCATGAAACATTCATCAATCAGTGAAAAAGCGATCTACTCTGTTTCGACTGCAAGAGCTTGGTGTTATTCTGTGTTAACATCTACGTTTTCTTCTTCGTAAATTCTTTAGATATCAGCAGCTCCATGCCATTAATGCCATTGCGTACACTGCATAAACAATACGTGACTGAAACTGATTCCACCTTAGATCGTTTCGCATTTCGATGATTTATTATTTTTTTTGTCGTGGTGGCTTTTGTCAAGATTGTGCATCAAACCTTATAGATTTAAAATAAAATAAATGTGGTAATCATATAAATGTAGTTTGATTTGTTTCTACAATTGGGTAAAGTTTCATTGGCAGCATACAACTCCAGAACATATCTTGCAGACATCTGTTATCGGAACCAAAGTCAATCTGTTCTTGTCTGGATTCAGAAACTAAACAGAGGTCCAAGTTGTTAAACATCTTTCGCCTTAGTGTCGGCGCGACCTCAACCCGAAGTCTCTGGCAAACTTCGCTTGATTTGGTGCTCGTCTGCAGGATGATAGCCGGAGGACGCGGAGAGAACGGGAGGGAGGCAGAGAGGAAATGCGGGGCTGGCACGAAAGGAGGAGGAGAGAAGGCAGCGCGGGGGAACAAGACCAATGCAATCGCCCCGTCGGTAACAAGAGACAAGCGCCTCGCAGGGCACATGGCCTTTCCGGAAGAGATCTCACTTGACGCTTCGCACCAACTTCCCCCATTTCCCACGTCACTCGGGGTTGTGGCCGGCCCGGGACAGTGGGCCCGGTCGCGAAAATGCTCTCCGAATGAGACAGTTCACTCTCATTTACAAAAATATAAGCAGCTGATATCACGTGATTGTTTTGATTGATTATTCAGTACTTCCGGGCGTATCATAGGACATTGATCCCGTAAGTGTAGTACATGTCCTATCAGGGAGGAGGCGGTGTTCCTCCCCCTGGAAAGTGGAATTCGGCGCCAACCTGCACTTACGTTTGCGGGGATCCCTCCTCCAGATATCACCCCCCTTCAGGACACCGCCCTAGTCGGGACAAAATCTCCCAACTACTCTCCAGATCTGTACGATAGTAAAGTGCATGTAACTCTACATACGTGTTTGCGTAGAGGGTGAGGAGGGGACTTGGGAAGGGAGGGGGAAGGATAATGCAGGAAAGATCGCGCGCGGTCCGTAGCCCGTTTTTAATGTTTAATTCTGCATTGGCCAAGTTTTGGTCGACGAAACCATGTATAACTACCGAGGCGTGAAGGCAGCCGCTAGAATTCTCCTTCAGGCAGTGGCTAAATTTCACCTAGCTAAGTAGCTACTGTCACATCTCTGGTACGGTCGGTAATCAAACCACAGTACACCCTGGTCAGCGCCGCTGCAGAGATAACGTTAATGCGGCAAGTGAGGCATCACAAACGGTTTATCTTGTCTTTTTTAATAGCGATTTTGCGACATAGCCGAATCGTCGCAATTACAATCAAAATTTAAGAAGACTTACAAAACTATAAACATAGTGAAAGGTTTCATCAAAGATATCTGTATCGTCTAAAGAACATCAAGAAAAATCCACTGCAAGAATATGTTACTCTGAAAAATCCCAAAAGACGTACGTCGAACGAGAAAAAAATTAAAAAAAAATAATAAAAATCAACCAAAACCACTGTTCAAATCTCCGTTCGTTTAATTTCATTTCCATTTAATAATTTTTCCAACGCTCAATCATACCCTTCAGACCTCCGAATCAGGGAATGACTTCTTTTATCATGATGATTCCCGAAACTAGCATGCCGTAAAACCTCGCTTGCGAACCATGCCGGCGTCTCGTTACAACGGCTTCTGTATCAACAGTTTAGCCGTAAAATCATTTGAAAAATGTCTAAATTAACTTAAACAGCAAACCCGTGCTCCAAGATTAATTGTAGGGCGTTTTGCGCAAAACTGAGATTCGTCTGCTCGAATTTAGGATTAATCAGTTGGAGACAATATCTCGTGCGATGCCTAAATCGTTTGAATCGGAACAAAAAGATTCAATGTCACATTCTTCTGGTTTTGATGGCGGGCAACGTGGTTGGGATGGTGTTTTAACGGAGGGAACTGTACTTAAAATATAAATTCAACTTTATATGCATAAAAGTTCGTTGTCCATAAACTATGGGACATCTATAGAGTGTCCTTCAACTATTTATGTTAAGAAAAAATGATCGTTGTCTAGAAATTGGAACCTTTTTGCTTGCTCTTTAAAATTTGAAGGTCCTCTACATCGAACGTTTGAGTTTTCTCTGATTCATTTAGTTAAATCTCTGCCTCCGCGGCGATCAGTTTGTGTCCATTTGAGGACAGAACCTTCGTTTGGTTTGCAGAAACGTCCCACGGCAGTTTAGCGTGAGTTGGCCGCGCCTCGTCAAAGTCGTAAGTCGCACTTCACAATTAACCACCGAGTTAATTGTTTCTAACGCAATCGACGCTCTCGATTTCGTAACATACTGTCTTCGTAGGCCAGCAACCGAGTTACATGTGCCCGCACAGTTGGCACACTCTGTCAATCCATACCTCAGAACTGCATCAATCAATCTATTCGCTTACCTCCGAGCAATCCTATGTCAATAAATCAATCAATGAAGTCATTACTTTAATTGGTTGTTAACAGCAACAATATTACAACCGCGTGGACGAAGGTAATTTTAAACTTCCATCTCTGGTGAATGCAACTACTATTCGTACTAATGTGTGGCAGACCGACTACAGACTGTCGCAACAACGCCCATCACCCGATAGGTTTGGGCAGACTCAACGTAGTGACAGATAATGTTTGGAAGCTTTATCAGATGAATTTGTTGATGGAAAAATGGTTTTATTAACGAGCATACTCATATTTATAATGATTTCAAACAATGTATTTTTAACTAATTTTTCCTACATTTATTATGATATTTCCGCCTGTGTTTTATCTTCGTTATCTGCTTCGTCGAATGTACGTTTGCAACTGTCTTGCAGTTCAATTAGTTTTTTTCACTTCTTTTCGGTCTTTTGAATGTAACAAGCACAATCCCATTATAAAAAGTATCACCTTTTTTATATGCTCTGCAAGCTTCCTCCACCCGACAGACACTTTTCCTAATTCATTTATTGTTCTTGTTCTTGGAACTAGCATCGTTATTTTTCTTTCCGTTTGCAGGACAAGGATGATGGTGGAATTTTCTTTGTTTACTACAGTAGTCAGACAAAAGCGTCTGATTGAAAGGAAGTGATTATGGAATTAATAAGTCTCTCCCAAAAATTGTAATTAGATGTAAGAAAGGCAATCTTATATCTAACAAATAAAGTTGGAAGCCATTTCCGTGTTCGTCAGATCTGTAAGCTTCTTTCCAAATGTGTTTGAAATGAAATTATTTCATGAAATGAAAACTAAGACCTTTTCGTAAAATAATTGTATTTTCATAAAATAATAATATATATTTAGTAATTCTATCTTAATAATACGTTTGTTTTTAAATTTTTCTTCAAAGGAATGTTACAATTTTTCTCATTGTAGTAGTGTCATTCGTTCGATGGCAACACTGCTTTTATGCAAATGGTTGTATTAAAAGTTACGAATGAAAGTTAGTAGCGATAACCGATTAATTTTACCAACGCAACTTTGAATACGTCTCATTTATTTTATGATTAATTTGTTCGACTACTTATAGAACTTGAAGTCGGATGGTAAATTAACTTTTTTTGGATTTTTTACTTGAATAATGTTGACTACGAAAACACAACTTCTCCCATTTATCAGTTCTCAGGCAGGGGAAGCCAATGCTGCGCTTCATTAACGAAGGTTGTTGTACCTCGGGGGGGGGGAGGGGGAGGGGGCATGTTTAAACGGAATGCAAGGAATGCGGGTAACTCGTTGCTCACTTGGAATTCACCCTCATGGTTTCAAAAGATTCCCGTGTTTAAAGTTATTTATTCTGTTTGAAAATGCAATTATTTTTAAGTAAATAATATGTTCAATAACTATGAAAACATATAACCCAATATTGAATCCATTGTGTTTAGTGGTAAATATGAAATCTAGTCATTTCTTCCCATTTCTTTCCATTCGCATTCATTTCCCCTAAATAAGACTGGGACGATATAGGTAAGTACGTACTCGTACAATTCCTTCTTCCTTCTTCCTTCTTAAACTGGTTTTCACCTGTGCAGAGGTCCCATCCAAAGGGGTTGAATAAACATGAGATTCTAAATAATGTAAATGTTTCGGCAGGAATTGTTCACCACTGGTGTCATGGTCTCAAATACCACGCAAAATACTTTCATTTTGTAATTATGGCGTCAAAATCAAAGGCAAACTGCCTTATACACTCTACTATAATGTAAACCATTATTCATAATTTAATAATTGGCCAATTAAGATATGTTTCTGTTCACTAACTTTTAATTAGAAACGTTTCTATCTTCATGTTCGATAGTTCTAACCACTGAATTGCTATTGTTGATCAGGCAAACATTTACATGTGCAAGTATTATATCACTTCTTGATGAAACATAAAACGCAAATTTAATTTTATTTATCTGACACATCGTGAATACAATATTTTCAAGCATAAAAAGGCTTTTTTGTTTGAAAACTTAAAGAGGAACGCGCATTGAAAAACGTTCGTCATATAACAACACACAGGGGTTGCAGCACACTTCAGGTTGTCGCCTTCAATTTTTTTCTGGTTCAAATTTTAGAACGGTTTACTCAATCTTAAGTTTCCTGCATTATGTCTGGAAGGACGGTAGAATGTTAAAGCGTAAGCTTTCGCGGCCAGTGTCAGAATCTATTTGGCTGTCCGAAAGGCGCCGCGTCCTAGGCACAGATATAAATTTTCCTCCGTCATGCGACCTTCCTCAGGGCAGAATGCTTGAAGACGGTCGCGACATGAGGGCCGAAGGGACTCGGACTGTTGACAATTGTGCCTAGGACCGGCGTCTCCCGGACAGCGAAGAAGATACAGTAGCAGATGTTTGATGAGGAAACTGAATACGATGTGGATTCCCTGACTGTGAAAAAAAGGCAAGACAAGAAAATAAGAAAGGATACAGGGAATTGTAGATTTATCACGAAGAAAGAAAGAGTTGGTTGCACGTGTATGGAAGTTAATGAAGATGTGTGTTGGTGTTCTCTACAGCATTCTTGGAATGAAGGGCGCCCAGTTAAAGAGATGGTATGGAGGAGGGTCAGGTCAAATGTAAAGGATAAAGTGGAAACACTTGATGTAGTTCTGCTCAATTGGAAAGCAGTGCAGATTTACTGCAATATTAATGAGAGTAGAATGGGATAAAAGTGAAAAAAGAAGCCGTGAATATACATGGAAAACATTATAAAAGAACAAATAAATCATTTTTAATCACTTTTTGTCCATCTTGTTTACCGAATCTATAATATCAAATTCACTGAAGGTTTCTATGGCACAGAATTTGCAGAAAATCAACGATATTTTTCAATTTCAAAACTGAAAACAATGTGTAATATTTGACCAAACATTTAATATGTGCTAGGAAATCATTTTTTAACTCTCTCATTCAAAATAAAAGTCAATTTTAACAGCTTATTGTAAAATGAAGAGATTATCTCTTTCCTGTTTTAACTCTCAGCCTGCAGACATTGGAAGCAAATTTTACTTGTCAATGCTTTATTACAGAAAAGTTCTCAAGAAGTTTTCTCTTAGGGGGTTGGTTCTAGTTAATTATTGTGGGAATTGTAATATTTCTGACAAGATGTTTATGTATAATTCATTTAGCTGTATTTGAAAGCATTATTTAAACGTTCATCAGCATAGGAGTACCTGCAGCTCCTTATTTACATTCGTCTTGTAAACTAGTACTATAAACAGCCCCAATACTGAAGTCAAAAATTGGGTGTGCTCCAATAAATCGTATTGCAGAATGTTTTCGTATTGAATCGTATTGAAGCTGTTGAAAGCAAGAAATTCTAATTTGTCACTGCCCCAAATTCTATAAATAGACTTCAGACAACGGGCCGTCGATTTTTCATTCATACTCTCGAAGAAACTGCACAGCGTATTCCTAGAAACAAACTGCGTCCTAGCAGATGAGATCAATATGCGCCGTGTCTTATGCCATGAAAACTGACGCAAGCGATTTTATTTCGTCGGGCGTCTCTTGACTTGCAAGTCGCGTGTTTTCCGCGCGAACCAAAGAGAAATGAATTTCAACTTTCGTGTCACGGACTACACCACCCTTCTGCTCTATCAAGATAGTTTCTGCTTCTCCGCACGAAATGTCGTCCAACAGATACGAAAACTATGCCTCCGCGTCTTCCTGTACCATGTTTATTTCTGTAGTGCATGGGACTACAATTTTTTGAAAAGAACAAATTGCCACCATTTAATTTTTTTGCGGATGAACTGTTTCAACGATATCATGATTGCGAATAGCTACAAATGATAAATACTGAAGTGATTTTGAAGTTTCAGTGAACAAAGGTATGTAAAATTGGTCATTAAAATAAAAAATGAAGTGATACACCACAATTCATTGACACATCTCTAATAAGATACACAAGAGAATTAATTTTTGTTTTTCGACGCTGTTTCATCAAAATTGGGTTTAATTTAGAACTTTCTGTGATCTTACAAATAATCTTATTTTACGGCAGAAGATCAATATCGTGTAATAAAAGTATGAATTCCCAACTATATCTAAATTCAATATATTGAGAAAGTTATAAAAATCTTTTGAAATTTCTCCGTGACATTAACCTCCTATTTACTAAATTCAGCTACCAGCTATTGCAGCACAAAACTCAAATTCTTTGAAGAATTTGAAAATTTAATATTATATTTACTCTCAGGCTTACTTATTGTTACTCTTAGGCTATGCAGGAAAACTTATTTGTCGTTGTCTGCCGGCTTTTGTTGGGTAAAGTACATGAAATTGAACTATTAGAATATTATATGTGATTTTTAAAAATATTGTCATGGCAGCATGTGGTTGATAAATAGCGTTGAAGCCAACTTTTATTTCATACTCTGAGATGGAATTTCCATTTAAACTTGATTTTAGAAAAAATTCAAAACATTGCACTGATTTAATTGAGGGTTACATATGCTTTGACAAAAGATGCCTCTAACAAGAAGTATTGGTATACACAAATTGAAAGAAATGTTGCATACATATAATTTCGATTATTAATCGTTTGAATTTTGTCTCCAATTAATGAATAATGTCTGCAGATCACAGAATCCGTGAAAAGGCGGAGTTAATTCTAGACGTGGAAAATATTGTAAAGGACAATAACGGAAATATAAAGGAGGAAGATACGATAGTTAATAACTGAAAATAACTAGTGGTCTTACAAAATGATACGAACTTTCTCGTATTAGTTTTCTATTCTCTTTGGCCTAGGCTAACTATGTGAACTTGCCACTTACTCTAGCCAGCTGTAATCTATTGATACTCAAAGTATATTTTTTTGAATTTTTCTCATTTCTTCAGTTTCCTGATAGATGAACGGAAATATTACTTTCATAACATTATAGAAGCATCCTATGTGGAAATTTCCTTGCAAACTGAAAACGGTGTATCTTTGAGCAGCACGTGATGCAGCAAACATCATTACTCACGTGTGCGCACAAGACTCACTTGACGGTCTCTATACGTCAACGTAAGAATGTAGAAACGATATTACGATTGGCTGTAAAATATAACGATATGTATCACGGAAAAAGGTCAACACGACTTCCTGAGAGATTTGTATTGCACATAAATTTAAGCTGCTGCCTACTTTTCAACGAAAATAAATGAGACTCTGGAGATCATAATATTCCACTGCACGTTCTTACAAATAATCCTCTAAATATATTTTGTACTTTAGAATATTTTTATAATGAACATCAGCACAAAGTATTTTTAAAGTGAAAGAATAAATTGATTAATCTAAAATCTGTTCGCTTGCCTCAAATACTGACTGAAAACTAAACCTCGTAACATTTTCTTTTGTTGAATAAAACAATAGCTGGTTCTAATCGATTTACTCACTGGAAGTGGATGGAAAACCATTGATATTCTCTCCTTCACTCTTTTTTCGCTGCTGAAGAGTAGTAAAACAGATCGCGTCTCTCCCGGAAGCTGCATATTACGTTGCTCAATGGTGGTGGCCTGACGGCCCTTTTTCATCCACCCTTAAATTACTTTAATACACTTACATTCACCCTTGCCTTTTCACCTTTTTTAAAAGAAAGTTACAATGCGTTGTAGTGATTTTGAGATAACCGCTTTATAAGAGAAGGAAGAAAAATTGTAAACATTATGTTACCCAAAAAGTACTCTAAATCACTTAGCAAAGAGGCTGTTATTAGAAAAATACAATTCTGACAGCTTATTAAGTGTAAATCATTTTAATTTCATTGGGAAAAAGTTTTGAAATACGGATATGATATAATGCGTTACATAACGTATCCCAAATTAAATACTCTGAAGTTTCCTATTGAGTTGCCACGAATTTTTAACATTTCGACGTTTTTGGAAGCGTTAATA